GTGAAGCTTCAACAAAGACAGTAATAAGAAGCAGCTGCTGAGGCACTGACTGCCACACAAGTAGCAGCCGCAGCTGCTGCTGCTGCTGGTGCTGCTGCTGGTGCCGCTGCAGCAGAGTGCTACTCCTGCTGCTGCAGCTGCAGCAGCAGTAGCACTCTGAGCAGACGGGAAGGTCAGCAGCAGCATCTCGGACAGCAGCAGCAGCATGATCAGCAGCAGCAGCAGCTAAGTCTCTGCTGCTGCAGCAGTGGCTGAACGCGTCTCCAGGCTGAACTCTCGTTGCTGCTGCTTCGGCCCAAAGACTGCATGCGTTGCGTCGCTCAATACAGCATCAGACAGCAGCAATTGCTGCACCCCGCTGACGAGCTGCTTCAGGGGTTTTTTCAGTTTGTTGCTGTTGCTGCTGCTGTTGTTGCTCCTGCTGCTGTCGTCGCCGGATAAGGGGTGGGCGGCGTTTCCCGTTGCACCGTGGGCAGCAGCAGCAGCAGCATCGCTGCGCTGGAGCAGCATAGACCATTCGTCTGCTGCTGCGCTGCTGCGGCTGCTGCTGCCGCTGCTGCTCTCCAGCTTTTCAAAGGCCTCCAGCTCTCGGGCAGGAAATGCCCACATGTGCGCCAGCTGCAGCACAGCAGCAGCAGCAGCAGCAGCAGGTACAGCAGCAGCAAGCAGCAAATGTGGTAGCTTTAGGGCTTTAAAGGGAGCTCAAAGCTTGGGATCCTCTAGGCGCATAGGCTTCCTCAGTTTAGTTTGAGGGTTAAGGGTTTAGGGTTTAGGATCTAGGGTTTAGCGTTTAAAGTTTACCGCGCAAGGGACCATTTCTATGCAGATGAGCCAGTCCTGCAGCCTTGCTGCTGCTGCTGCTGCTGCTGCTGCTGCTCCGTTGCTGTCGCCCGGCAGCAACAGCCCCGCTAACCACCGCAAGGCGAGGGATTGCCTGCAGCAGAAAGCAGTTCCAAACCCTGAACCATATGCCCTAAACCCTAAACCCTAAACAGTGCCCGTAAGCATCAAGCTGCTGATATCATCTCCCAATCCCTAAACCCTAAACCCTAAACCCTAAACCCTGGGGCTTACCAGAAGCAAAGAAATACAATTGCCTTCAGAAACAGAAATTTCGGCAGAGGCCGCCACGGCGCTAGCGGCCGCTGTACCGCCATATAAAATAGAATCAGCGAGTACATCGCCACCTGCAGCAGCAGCAGCAGCAGCAGCAGCAGTGGTATTGGCAACAAGGAGTCGAGAGAAATGCAGCAGCAAGCACATTCAACGAGACCAAAGCAACTGCCTTTGCAGTAGCTTCTGCTGCAGCAAATGCAGCTGCAGCAGCTGCTGCTGCAGCGTCAACAGCGAAATGCAGCTAGAGTGACTGAGGCGACGCAACAAGAACAGCAGCAGCAGCAGCAGCAGCAGCAAGCAGTGGGCATATTTGGTGTGTCTTTACTGCAGCAGAAATGTTGCTGACGAGCACCAGAAAGAGGAAACCTTCTTGGTGCATGCAGGCACTAAGAACCTGCAAAGACAAAAAAAGATACTTTAAAGTCTAAACACTAAACCCTAAACCCTAAACCCTAAACCCTAAACCTATAATGGCAGCAGAAGCAGCAGCAGCATTATTCCCATTAAGCCAAGCTGAAGGCATCCCTCTGGTTGCACCTGGATAGGCCGCTTCCAGCAGCAGAAGCAGCAGCAGAAGCAGAAGCAGACGCAGCAGCAGCAGCAGCAGACGCAGGCGCAGCAGCAGCAAGAAGAGCGACAACAGTTGCAAAAAGGCATCAGAATACATGTCGGAAGCAGCAGCAGCAGCACGTGCAACAGCAGCAGCAGCAGCGGCAACGACAGCAGGAGAAGCAGCAGCAGCAGCAGCAGCTGCTGCTGCTGCTGCTGCTGCAGGGCTTACAAAAGCAGCAGGCTTTACAAATACGAACTGTGCTGCAAGGCGCTTAATGTGGCCAAGCCATCGCCTGCAGCAAAGAAGAAACAAAGAGCAGCTGCTTCTCTGCATCTGCTGCTGCAGCAGGTTCGGTGTACGTACACTTGAACCTACTGCAGCAGGTTCAGGTGTAGCAGGAGCAGGAGCAGGAGCAGCAGCAGCAACAGCAGCAGCAGCAGCAGTAGAGAGACTGTAATACCTGTTGCACTCCATAGGGGGCAGGAAGTGGTTGAGGGGCCACAAATGCTGCAAAGAACCCTGCAGCAGCAGCAGCAGCAGCAGCTCGAGAATCAATGCATGTACCCGAAGACAAGATACCCTCCCTTCAACTATGATCCCCCCGCAACGCTGCTGCCGCCGTTTCTGCTCCTGCTGCTTCTGCTGCTTCTAGTTCCCTTGCTGCACCTGTCTCCTGCGCTTCTAGCAGCCACAACAGTAGCAGCAGCAGCAGCAGCTGCTACTGCTGCTGCTGCTGCAACCGCTGCAGCAGCCCCAGAGGCCGCAGCGCAAGAGGTAGCAACTGCAGGTGTCCCAGCAACAGCATCGGCAGCATTCGAGTCGAAGGGAGCAGCAGCAGCACTCGAATCAGCCACAGCGGCAGCAGCAGCAGCAGCAGCAGCAG